AAGTTCAATTTTGTGTAAACAGACTTCATTAATTTATGAGTTCGTTTATTATTATTCTTATTATTCTTTATTATTATTATTAATATTGTTGTTATTTTTAGTGTTACTGCTATTATTATTATTCTAATCGTTTAAATATTTATTGTCATAAAAAATATATAATATATTTTGTTAAAAATAACGTATTTTTATTTACATCAAAGTTTCATTGTTTATTAATAGTTGACATCTAAATTAATTGAAAAGTATTAGCTATTTATGCGCCAAGCACAATTACGTTTATTATTTTTAATATTAGTTTTATAGTTAGAGAGATATATGATGAGTGAATTTAGATTTGGTCTACATAATTGTAATACACAATTATTATTATAAAGTGGTATAATATAAACAAAATTGTTTCTTTTTTAAGAAAATCATCTTTACCTTTTACGTTTATAGTGTATACATTATTAATAAATTTTATATTTTCATTTGGAATTTAGGTATATGTTTGATTCATTCCCGAAAATATTAGTTATTTTGTCTGAAAAATTTTGTATATAAAACACAGAATCAAAATGAAGATTGTTTACTAATTATTATCATGATTAAAATATGAAATATAAAAAATCGGGTCATTGCGTTTAGAAACCATGTTGGATGCGGCCTTCGGAAACACCACGTATACTTCATAATATTTTTAAAATGTCCCCCTTAAGGCGCCTAAAAATTATTCTCTATCTGTATGGAATAGGAATAATATTATCACTATTGGCCCGCCCTCTATGAATATCCCTAGTAATGGAAAAAAAACTTTAAATATGCAGGTATTGAATGTTGCGAACAATAATTAAAAAAGTAAATAGTTTTTAATATTTTATTTAAAAAAAAAATCAATATTCTTATTTAACTAACTAGGAAATGTTAACATATTATTAATAAAATAATATATTTTAAAATATCAAATGCAACTGTTAACGAATTAACTATTATTCACCCTATTGAATACAACAGTTTTTGGTGTCACGGTGTATATTTGCAAACAACACTCCCAGTCCGAAACATACCTAATTATTTGTGGTGGGGCGCGAGAGAATGAGAGCGACCCAACTATTGGGGACCTTAAGTTGCCCTTCATTGTACGTCTTTTAAAGAGCTGTAGCAAGGTTGTGCTACGATTTTCTGTCGAGCGACATCCCGGACGTACACGGGGTGTATTATTGTTACAATATATATTCTTTGATCAGATGTCTTCCTACTTTAAGACGTACGATAAGACGGTACCACAAAATGACCTTTGAATATTTATTTGGAACTGCAGAAGTGAATGCACTGCTACTATACCAAACATCAACCAACAAAAAATTTCTTATGGAACAACTAGTGATGGGGTTACTAAGAAAAGCACCAGACGAAAATAAGGAAAATAATAAGATTAAGCACAAATTGGAAGAAACTGAAGAAAGGACAGTAGATCATCGATCTGTGTCTTGCTACGAAAAGCAGTACAATCTGTTGAAAAATTCCCGGATGGCGGCCAAGAAGACAAAATTGATATCGACGTTTTGCAGGGAATGTCCCAATTCCCCTTCACTTTGGAATGTTTCCAAAAAAAAAACACTAAATGCTTATTTTAATAGTTTTTAAAATGTTTTGTTCATAATAAATGTTCTTCTGCCGAAAACATAAAAAGTTTTATGAAATACCTATCCAAGCAACAAGGTTACGTCTCTAAGACGTCCATTTAAGTAAATATTTGGTCAGCGACGTCAAAGACCAATTGACGACGTGTAGTCGACGTCTTTTTTGCGACGTTTGAAATACGTCGTTTAAAATACGTACTTGTTACGTACATTTTTGACTTAACTATTACTTTAAAAATTAAGATATGTACATAAGGTCAAAAAACGATGTAGTAAAAAATTACGAAATTGTTCATAAAGTTTCGAACCCCAGGTGACAAACTTAGATATAGAATTTATATATTTAAATTTATAGAACAATGTTGAGTTTTATAATATATAATATCTAATAAAATAACTTAAATTTTAAGCACATATCTATTTTACCAAAAAAAAAGTGTTGATTGTTCTTAAATACTAGTAAATTCTTGTAAAAATAAATTAAATTGAGGTTATTTATTTTTATAACATCTAAGTAAATTATACATAAGGGTCAGATTCGATCTATACGGTTTCAAGTTTGGAAGATAATCGCGGGTTGCTTAAATATGTGACGTCACACTAAAGAAACGGTAGTGTCGGTAGATAATATAGTGCTCATGTTCATGCTAATATCAAGAACGTTTCTTCGGGATGCGCAATGGACAGTTCCTTCGTGTTTTGATTGGTTAAAAAAAGTACAAAATTATTTTTTATCCAATCACATGGTAGAGAAACTGTTAAATCCGTCTCGGCTTTATCATGTGTTATGAGAACGCACTCTAACCCTAACCAAACAGAATAAAAGCAAGCGTCAGCCATTTTGCGGCGTCCCTCCGCTTTTTACTTTTTACTTCTCAATCGTTATTTATTTCAGCTGTGGTAGCAACGGTGATGTGAATAATTTTCTTTAACGATAATAATTTGTGGTGTTAAGCCTCAAATTCATGCTGCGAATAGAGGTCACGTGGTACTTCTGCGAGTAAATGCGAGTGTTCGCTACTAGCTGGATTATTTCAGCTTTTTGCGAGTATTCGCAAAACCGTTACCTTTCTGGAATTTGTATAAATTATTATTAACAATGGATAATTTGGCGAATAATTCAGAAGATCTAGAAGTAAGTAAAGTAAATTATTTCGTACAATGTAATTTCGTAATTTAGTATTTGTTTCTAATTGTTTCACTGAAAATATAACCTATTTACTTTTGTGTTTACAGAATCAAACATTGTATACGTGCGGTCTGTGCAACAATTATTTATATTTCAACGAAATTGCGGCACATGAACCTTGCATGAAAGGATTTCAATTGATTTTATTAATAGATGGATCGTCTACGTTTTATCCACAATCATCAGGTATAATATGGATATTCAGGTATAATATGGATATATATATTCTATATCATTAGGACATCTTATCAGGAGCCATAAAAACCTAAATGCATAATTTTTTCATTAAAAATGGTACATAATACTATAAAACTTAAAGTAAATAAAGTATATAATTTATTATAGTAAGCTTAAGACCTTATGTAAAAATCATTCATTGAGCTCTTTTGGTTCCTCCAATAATTCAAAATAACTATTTTACCATTTTCGCTTTGCGTAACCAATAGGTTTAAAAAATTGATGGATTATGTTACTAGAGACCTTAAAATTTTTGCATTTTATGAAAAAATTTTATGAAAAATTATAAAAAGTAATACATTTAAATAAATAATCAATAATTATCAGTTTTTTGCATTTTAATAAAACTAAATTTCTAAATTTATATATATCAGGATTTACAGCTCAAAATGAGATAAATTACAAAAGCAGTAAACAGGGTAGTAAGAGAATTTATCATTTTTTGAACCTACAGGTTACGGAAAAGTTAAAATGGTGAAATAGCTGTTTTAAGTTCTCGAAGGAAGCAAAAGTAAAATATAAATATATTTTCTAAGGAATTATATTTTTAACATTTAATTTTAACAAATTTTTTTTATAAGGTGGAGCAAGGCTTTAAATAAACATGGCCATTGAAATATATTCAATAAATACATTATTTTTTACAGATGGCATAGCGATTGATTTATACGCAAAGTTGCAAGAATATAATCGGCAATTGCCGAGTGACAGCAGTAATAAAGAAAATAACTGCAACTTAAGTATACCCCCTTCCCAATCAAGAGACCACAACCGTAGCAGAAGCGCTAGTCAACAACCTGTTCTGCAAATTTGGTGTACCCATGGAACTACATTCAGATCAGGGCAGAAATTTCGAGTCAGGTGTGTTCCAAAAGGTCTGCGAGCTTATGGGAATCCGGAAAACCCAGGACCACTCCACTGCATCCTCAGTCAGATGGTATGGTGGAACGTTTTAACGCCACATTAGAAACCAATCTGAGAATGTTCGTGAACGAGAACCAGACAGACTGGGACAAGCTCATTCCATTCTTCCTGTTAGCTTACCGCTCAGCTGTCCACGAAACTACTGGGAAGACTCCCGCAAGGAGTCATCTTTGGAAGAGAGCTTCGCCTTTCCACTGACTTGGTATTTGTTCGTCCTGCGGAACAGCCCACCGAGCCAGACACTTATACTCACGAGCTAGAACGAAGACTAGCAGCCGTACAGGATCAAGTCAGATCTCGGATGCGACTAGAAAGCGATCGCATGAAGACTCGATACGACGTCAAGGCCAATTCAGTCCGATTCCAACAAGGTGACTTGGTGTGGCTGTACAACCCCACGCGGAAGATCGCCTAAACTACAGAACCGCTGGGAGGGCCCCTACATCGTCATAAAAAGAATCAATGACGTCGTCTACCGGATACAGAGGACCCCCAGGAGTAAGATGAAGGTCGTTCACCTGGAGCGTCTGTCCCCATATAGAAGTGCATCCGATCGGGACTATCGGTCCTAAGGAGGGGGTAGTGTCACATAATTTGCCCCGATCGCTCCCACTTGGATGACCCTGGCATCGCAGAACGCTAGATTGCCCCGATCGCCCTACGCAATGCAGGTAAACAAACAGAACAATGCCGGGTATCAAGGCGCGTCTAGAAAGTGGAGGAATTGTTCAGGAACTGGGTCCCGAACTACTGGAAATTATCTGGAATATTCGTTTGGATATAAAAAGAAGAATAAACGGACTTAGCGGGTCAGTCTTCAATGGGAGCGCTTAGTTGGAGATTTCCTAGAGTTTCAAAGTGATAATTAGTGAGATAACGATTAGTTGAGTTGTAATTGAGTTGTTATTAGTAATCAGTAGTGTACAGAGTGTGAATAAATATCAGTAAAAAAAAATAGCTGTTTGGTTTTTCTGGTAAAAAGAAAAAGTCGGGTAGAAAACCCGTAACATTACATTTTACGGCACTGATTGTTGTTACAGATATTTTTCTTGCCATTCTAAAGCTCCTTCATTATTAAAATCAATATCTCTCTGATTGCGTATGCCTCTTTGGTACTCGAGTTATTTCCACATCTAGTTATTTCTGCAAAAGCAGTGCCATTTTGGGGTTCAGCTCTCCAAGAGCCTGACATTAGTACATTATTTTCATTCTCATAATCAATAGAACCAGGCGTTATATATTTGACATCTTCTTCATCATTCAAGTCTGACAATCTCAAAAAATTATGTAAACATACTGCTGCTTGAACAATGAGCATGCTGTGCTCTACAGGCATGATGATTGGTTTCCTAAAAATTCTCCACCTGCTAACCATAATTCCGAAAGTGTTTTCTATTACTCTTCTTGCTCTTCCTAATCTATAATTAAATACTCGTTTATCGTGTTCAACACTTGTCTTGCCTGGATACGGTCTCATTAAATAGGGTTTGAGAGGAAAAGCTTCGTCACCAACGATGCAATATGGAAGAGTTGCATCGGATCCATATGGAGATGCAGGTGGTGGAAGTTTCATTTCACCACTTTCAAATTTTTGGCCCATTTCTGATTCCTTAAAAATTCCCCCATCGCTCCTTCTTCCATAAGCTCCTATATCTATAAATGCATACATATAATTGCCATCACATATGGCTAGAAGAACAATGCTATGTGTTCCTTTATAATTATAGAAGGATGAACCGGCTTTAGCTGGGCACTGTAACAAAAAATTTATTAGTTTTATACTATCTTTGATGCCAAGATTATAATTATTGTACTATTAATTTACCTGAATAATTATGTGCTTTCCATCAATTGCACCAACACAATTAGGAAAATTCCATTTTGAAAAAAAAACATTCAGCCTTTTTTTGCCAATTTTCATTACTTAAGTCCATTGTTAATACAAGTGGCATCAAATTATCCCACAACGCTTGACACGTTTCAGATATAATATTAGCTGCAGTCGTTACACCAACTAAATATTGATATGACATGGATCTAATTGAATCTCCCGAAGCCAGAAATCGAGTTAACAATTTTCATATAGCAACATTTTTTGTAGTTAATCATTAATTGTCTAATATTTACTTATTTACCTTAAAGTCAACATCAAGCGCTCAGCAACTTCAATGGGTTCTCTAACGCAAACTTGTTTAAAGATGTCTGGGCCAATTAAAACTAATAAATTTTCAAATTGTGTGGCTGACATTCTGATGTAATTCTGAAACCGTAGATCTTCTAGCATAAATTTAGGCAAGACAGCATGATAAAAACTATGACTTTTTCTCTCTTTAAAAATTGGAGCAGCCCAATATTTTTTTTTTGTATAATTTCTTTGTTTGCTTTTCAAAACCAAAATAGCACCCAATACTGCTGCAATTCTTTTTCTTCTTTGCATTTTGTAAACTATCTGAGTTGTCAAATTTGATATAAAGTTTGAATAGTGTTCAGGAAGCATTATGCACACACTTTAACTTTAGTATGAAACTGTAATTATAATATTTATTTATATTATTTTTAAACTAATAATATTTTTTATTCGGAGTTACTCGCAATTTTGTAGTCGCGAATAGTTACTTTATTCGCGTTTACTCGTTACTCGCAATTCGTAGCGAATTATTCGCTCCATGAAAACGCACCTTTACTGTGGCGTGGTGTGCACTCGTATGTAAGATTGTAGGATTGATAATTTACTAAGTAAAAATAAAATACACTTTTAGGTTAACAACAGTTAGCATTCATCATGTCCTTTGTGATTGTAGAGTGGTTGAGTGGTGGAGTGTCTATAGTACATGAAAAGTGAATAACCCCTATGAAAAAAGAAGTGTTCTGGCCTCCTTTTAAAGATCAAAATAGATTTGATAAAGCTCCTAAAAAAGGCGAACCCTTTGAAGAAACATGGAATCTTCATTCCATCGCAAGATGCATGTATGCAACAGGTGAGTTTTGTGTTATTTATATGTTCAAACTACTCTTTGCTGTATTTGGAAATTTAATATTGATATTATAGTTTTACAGTTAATTTCTGCGAAATTTAGCAGAAATGTAGATTATCAATTTCTTCTTAACTCGTGTACCTGTTTACTTATTGCAGATAATTTTGAAAAATCACGGGCAAAGTGGAAAGCAGCAGAAAATACTTCTAACTGGGATACGGATTCTGAAAATTTTGATACTAATAGAATAAGAAAAAGGGTTAGGTCTTCGAGATTATTAGATAGTGATGATGAAAGTGATGATGAACATCTGACTATAAATAAGAAAACAGTAATTTGTAGACCACCACAACCAAGAGCAAAGTTACTACCATTTGAGAATAATATTTTAAGTGAATCGCAATCGAGCAACTGAGCAAGCAACTTTTTTATATCAAGTATTTAAATTTGTTATACATATAGGAAATTATAAATTTTATATATAATTATTTTAGATACAACGCCAGTAAATGACAGCCGCTTAGTGGCTTTGACAACAACTTCATCTGTGTTTCAGGAAGCACACTGTTCAACAATAAGGACTCCTATTCCAAATGTAACAAACTCTATTATAGAAGCTCCAGCAGGTACATTTGAAAATGACTCATTCCCATATGATCTGACTTAGAATATTTTTATTTCAGATTACAAGCGGCTGATAACTTTGTTGGTTCAAATAAAAGAACAAAATAATCAAATAATTGAGCGTTTGGATGGAATCCCACAGTTTACCAATTTAAGCGGCTCTCACCAACAAAACAATTTGCCTGACAATTTTCCAGTTGAATTGCCGATTACATCAGAAGAAGAATGACATTTATTGGAAGGCTTTCTAAATAAGAGTAATATCCCTTTATTGGTGGGTGTTTTGTGTTATTTTTTTTTAAATCTTGTACTTACTAAAGTTTTTTTTAGACTTCCTATTTGGCAACATTGGGAGGGAGTGGTGTTGCAGCTAAAACAAACCGCATTTTAAGACGTTTGTTATCTGATGCCTTAGCAGTTAATTACAGCTTTCTTGGAAAAAGAAATAATAAAAAACCATTTGCACACCTAAAATTAAAATCAGTTGTGGTTGGTAAGTATTTGTAAATTATTTATTTTAGGTATTAAAAGTATTTTAAAAACCTTGATAAGCTATCCAGTATTCAAAAAAAAAATTGCACATTTCATTTTAAAAAATTGTCCGTCATGGATAAATACAGCAATCTATGTTAAACCGAATACTTCAGATTTATCTCAACAATATTTATTTGTATTAATAGTTTTTGAAATACATTTTATATTACCGAAGCTTTTCTTAGTCTAATTAGATATCTTTTTTGTTAGAGGCCATTCGAATGAATTCAGCAGATATAACAGAGAAAGATATTGAGGACTGCGTTAAATCGTGGTTAAAGCATTCTCCCCAAAGATTAAACAGCTCACAGCGAGCTTCTAAGTAATTGTGTTTAAACATGTTTTAAAGAAAAAACCACAAAGTATGAGTTGGACGGCGTCAGTTTTACAGGAGAATAGCTAAAGAAGTAGAAGATATACTTAAAACTGATAGTTCAGAAAATGTAAGTCAATTCAGTCCTAATTGTCATAGTAACAGTTTAGTATGTGTAAATGAATTACCTGTTTGTTCGAATTCGAAGGTTTGTTCTAGTGTATCTGATTTAACTATTTGAGATATTGCAAAATTTTCTAATTTACCTGAATAAATGAGTATAATCCTGATTGTGATATAAATTCAAATTTATGTAATGACCTTGAAACTAATTATTTATCCATTAAATTGCTACATAACAGTGAAGTTCAAGCTGTAAAAAATACTGATTTAGTGCCAAAAATTAAGCATTGGGCAACCGTTCAACACATAGTACCTCAAGTGGTTCTTACAGATTTGTTACATATCCTATCTCTTTTACATCCTGAACTGCCGCTTGATAGTAGAACTTTGCTCAAAACACCAGAACGTATGACTAATATTAAAGTTTTAAAAAATGGTGAATATTGCCACTTTCATTTATTAAATATTTTAAAGAAAAATTTGTCTTTATTAGATAGTTCTGATACACTAATTAAACTTAGCATTAATGTAGATGGACTTCCTTTATTTCGTAGTTCAAATATTCAGTTATGGCCAATTTTAGCACGTATTACAAACGTTAAAAGTGAACCGTTTCCTATTGGAATTTTTTGTGATCGTTCAAAACCATCCCCTTTGAAAGACTTTTTAGACGAATTTATAAGTGAAATTAAACAATTAAAAAATTGATTTGAGATTAATAATAAAATTTACAATATCGAGTTACTTCATTTTGTGTGTGATGCTCCTGCAAAGGCATATTTAAAAAGTATTAAATCTCACGGAGGCTACTCTTCGTGCGATAAGTGCTGGGAAAGTGGGACTTACTATAAAGGGCGCGTTATTTTAAAAGGTGTTACTTCTAAAAAGCGAACAGATTTATCATTTGTTTAAATAATAAATTTACTTTTACAAGTATGATATATTGTTTACCTACGACCACTACTGTAAGTACTTAAAAACACACTGTCTGCGATCAATGTAAGATTCCTATTACGTACGGTAAAAAAACGCACAGTTTTCCTAGCAACTGCCTAGCAACGGCCAATACAATACTTGACCGTTGCTAGGCGGTTACTAGGAAAACTGTACGATTTTTTTAGCAAGCTGTGCGATTTTTTTACCGTACGACGTAATAGGAATCTTGCATTGATCGCAGACGGTATGTTTTTAAGTATTTAAAGTAGTGGTCGTAGGTAAAGTATAGTACGTAATACGTGGTGTAATGCAATTACGCACTCATAGAATTACGCACTCGCCGCTACGCGGCGTGGTGCGTAACTTTTCCATTCGTGCGTAAAATGCTTTTTACAACACTTATTACGTAATATACTATTATGTACAGATTCCCAATTTTGCATGGTCTGTATAAGTACTGGACATTATTAAGATTTCTCCATGTATTATAGGTTGATTGTAAAATTAATTATGTGCCCCCTAAGGTCAATTTTTGTAATTTTTTTAAATTGTGTTGCTCAAAATTTTTGGAATATTAGTATAATTTCTACCTTCCTTCAAAATCTTGAAAAAAATGTATTTTCTGAAAATAAAAAAAATTAATAAATAAGAATTTTAAGTAACTGTTGTAATTGACAGGGATTAAACAAAACAGGGTGGGTAAAACAAATCCCATCAGGTCTAAAATAAACCAATTACTGACGTAATAAGTACGTCATTAATATACGTATCTCGTTCGTTACTTAATGACGTCACTGGGCTGTGACGTTTAGCCGTCATTTTCACGTCATTTTACCAGTATTTTGACGTATAATTCACGAAATCTGTGACGTCTGTAGTACGCCAAAATTACGGCATCATGTTGCCTGGGTAGTATATGAAATTTGATGAGTCACCCGTGATATTTGGTTCACTAGTATACCGATAGTGTAGCTACTTTCTCTTATATCTGTACCATTTAAGTTTTGGAGCCATTTGAAATAATGTTGTTCGATATCACCGGTGATACACATGGTCTATACGTAAACCTTTGTTGTGAATCACTCATGATACATATGGTTCCTCAGACTAGATTTTTTAAATTTGGCTTCGTTAGCCAACGTGTTTTAAAACTTTAATAGAAAATCTAGTATTATTTGGAATTTTTTTTAACGTTTGCGATGAACAAAAGCAATTGGCAAAATGTGATCTGTGTTATAATGTATTATCATTTAATCGTCCGTATCAAATTTAAAAAAACATACAAAGAAAACATCCAACAATTAAGTTAGATCACTCGGAAACTCTCGCAAGCCGGAAAAGCGCAATTTTCATTAAACCTGGACCTGCTAGCAATGCCACTACTTTCAGTACTAAAACAATACCTGATGTTGAAATCGAAAAGGATACAACAAATAATTTAGAAAATTTAAACCAATCCGTCACAGCTGAAGATACAGCAATAAGTAGTATTAAGTGGATATTTATTTTTTTATTTATGTCTATAAAGCTAGGGTCAGACACGGCTACTTTTACTGCAGCTGCAAAAGTTTCCTGTCCTGTTCACACCTAGACCAAAAGCAGCAACCATTATCACGCAGTTTTTTGTATTGCGGCTACTTTAAAAATTATCGCAACCCTAAAAATGCAGCAGGCTGTTCACATTGTGTTTCTAGTTGCATTGCTTCAATGCAACTTTTGGCATTCATTGCAGTTTATTTTATTGTATTGTACATCTTGACCGTGTGTGAAGGTTGAATGTTGTTGTTGAATCCTGAAACATGAATGCCGATCAAACTACTATAGTGGCAGCCACTATAGGTATCGTTTTAATATCACGAATAAGGAGACGACGTCTAGTTACAAAAAAACGTATTTGGGTTAAGGAGTGGATTAGGAACCGACAGCACTGTGGATTTGTACAGAATTTATTGCAAGAATTACGTTTAGGCGACGAAATATTATACAAAAATTTCTTACGAATGTCTGCTAGGGATTTTGAATATCTTTTAAAAAAGTAACACCTTTAATAAAACGCCAGGATACTCATAAGAGACAAGATATATAACACCTACTGAACGATTAAGTCTGACTCTAAGATATTTAGCAACAGGTAAGGGTTATTCATTATGTTTTGACTTATTTTATAAGTATAGTTAGATAATTGGTATGTTCTTCTTTTTAGGTGACAGCTATAAATCGTTAATGTATTTATTTAGAATACCAGCTAATACAATTTCTACAATAATACCAGAGGTTTGTCAAGCAATGTATGATGTACCGAAAGATGAATACTTGAAGGTAAGAAATATGACATTTACCAGATACATTTTTATTAATAAAAATACATAAGCTTATGAATATCCATATTGTCACTATGTGATCATTATATGTCCATTATCATCCCAATCTGGCGAAGTCAGTGGTGTATCAATAATTTGAATAACAGAAGAAGCTGGTGATAATGCAAATTTTTTTGAGGCATTTTGAAAGCTGGCGTTTGCAATCAATTGCTGTATATCGTATTTTAATTTAAATTTTAACATGGTCGTTGAATTGATGTTGACTGTTGTTCGTTTGATTGGCTTGATTGTTCGATTGCTTACATAGGTACTTGTATGTTTGTAGATGACTGTGATTCTGAGGACTGTTCATTGCTTATTTTGGCTGCACATGTACTTGCATAATTGCTACCTGCATAATCGTCTGTTTCAATCTGTAAGAAAATAAATTTTCTAACTAAAAGTGCATTTAGTAATACACTTGCATTTTGCAGTGGGATATATTATTGGTATAATCTAGTATATACAAATATAATAATAATAACAATAATAATAGATATATTTATGTTAAAATATTTATATTTACATTTCAGATTCCACAGACCGAAGAAGAATGGGTAAACATTGCCAATGAGTTTGACGCTCAATGGAATGTTCCTAACTGTTTGGCTGCCATGGATGGGAAACATGTAAATGTAAAAGCACCGGCAAATAGTGGGAGTCTTTATTTTAATTATAAACACACACACAGCATTATCCTTATGGCATTAACTGATGCAAATTACAAATTTATATACATTAACGTTGGAGCACCTGGTCGTGAATCAGATGGTGGCGTTTACTTAAATTGTTCGGTATCACAAGCACATGAGAATAAAACATTAAATATTCCACAACCAAAATCATTACCTGGTAGGAAAAATCCTACACCTTATGTCGTCGTTGCAGATGATGCGTTTGCCTTAAAACCCTATATAATGAAGCCATTTGCTATGAACAATTTAAGTGTTCCTGAACGCATCTTCAATTACCGTCTGTCGCGCGCGAGACGAATAATAGAAAACGTGTTTGGAATAGCTTCAGCACGTTTTCGGGTACTTAGAAACACCTGTGAGCTTTCTCCAGAGAAGGTTAAAAAAATCGTTTGTGCTGTGTGTGTGTTACACAATTTCCTAATGTCTCGAAAACTATCAACAGTTATTTATGCTCCAAGGGGCACTTTTGACATGGAAGGCAACGATGGATCAATGACTTTTGGTACTTGGCGCAATGAAAGTACTGCTCTAGAACTATTGAGTAGAAATAATGTGCATAAAAATCCCACCACGCCAGCAAAGAATATTAGAGAGGAATTTAAAGAATATTTTTGTCGGGAAGGGGAAGTTGACTGGCAACATAATTATATTTAAATGTAAATATAAATATGTATATTTATGTTTACACCCTATACGGTGTTGAAAAAAGGGATAAAAAGTAGAGCCATACTTAGAGCTCATCAATGTAATAAAAAAGTTTCCATTCACATAGGCCTGAAAATGATTCGTTTATACGATAAGAAATGTTATTTACTTAATATTCATAGTATATCAAAACATTTTTGAAAACCGGTATTTGGTAGAAATAATTCAACACTCTATATCTCAGAAATGACGCATTTTGGACCTATGTGCATAGAGACATTTTTACTTTTTTTGGAAGCAATTTCTTGTAATCCATTTCGCCTATGAATTTGATTATGATAGTCTGAATGTGATACATCCCATAAATAAGCTCTTTTCTCTACCATCTCAATTAAGATAATAATCTCCTCTCGTTTCCATTTATACATGTTTAAAGCTAAAATGAAAATTTGGTAATCGTAATATTTTAACATAACCTCACTCACCTGTTATTGGAGTGTTCTTTAACCAA